AATTTAGTGTATTATATACATGTACTAATTCCCTACAATGAATGTAATCAATATTTACTACAAATATGTACTAATAAAAAATTTTAAAGAAGCAATTACAGCATCAGAACAAAACCAAACCCAAACAAAAGTCTCCTTACTGAGTCAGCTTGTCCAGGTGGGGCCAAGGATGGTTTCTCAGACTGCATTTCCTCTCCCTTAAACTTTGTGCTTGCTCCTCCTATGGAGAAATCAGACAGGTCCCTAAAGGTGACCTGCTCAGAGGATGTACCCATACCACTTCCCAGCCAGGGATCCGCAGACTCCTCTGGCAGAAAGGCAATGGCTCCAGATCTGCCTTAGTTCTACCTCTTTTCTGAGACTTATCTTAGTGTCATGTGGGCATACATCTGCCTGCCCAGTCCTGGGCTAATGCCATCTGCATTAGCAGAGGGGCCTTTCTGTGGCCAGTCTCTGCCCGCACTGTAGGATCCCCAGTTCTGGTGGTCAGATAAGTGTACCAGCTTGCGTGTGGGCTCTCTTCAGGTGGTCTTTAAATCAACTCAACTCTGAGAAGCCTGTGTCTCTGAGGGCTGGCCTGGCAGCTACCATGTACATGACCTTATAGATGATTGTGAGCCAGCCAGCTAAGAAGCCCTTGCATCCTAGAGCTTCAAAGCCACATCTTTGGGGTTTCTACTGGTTCTTACACAAAGGCAGCCCCATAGTGGATTCTACAGGACTCATACGAGCTCCTTGGTATGGTTAGTTACCATCAAGTGTGTGTGACTTCAGCCTCCCCTGGTGCCCCTGGTGTGTCTGGACCCTTAGAGCCTAGCACAGGCTTCTGGCCACAAGGATATGCTTTGTTAGGTTGGGCTTAGAGATAGGACCCCAGCTCACAGGAAAGGGGAGAACCAGAGAAGGTGTGGAAGATGGAGGATCTGTGTCCATTCATCGTGGGGCCAGTGCCTTGAAGAAGTTTTGTTACTTACAAGGAATTCTATGCCAGCTCCTGGGAAACTCAATCATATCCAATGAATGACAATGAGAGTCCGAGGAGTTGTCAGCCCAGGCCATTTAGACATCCCACCCGCCATCTGACCTGACAATTCTTGGCCTGCATTTCAGTAATGGGGGTACACTACAGACACTAGTACTTTGGCCCGCAACTCCCCCAGATTTGTGCTCCTTCCAGCACACCCCAGCATCTGCATCACTAAGAGGTAGCAGGCATTGGTGGGGGTGCTGGTCCTATGCCTTTACCTGGCCAGGGCATCCCTTTGGCCTAGGGCAGTCTGGCCCTTCCTGGGGCTCTCTCGCAGCAATGCCCGAACTAACTTCCCTGTCCTGTGCTTAATCTGTGGTGTGAATTAGTTCACATCAACTTGACAGTAGGGCTGTAGGGTAGACTACAGTTCCCAAAGAACTGTTGCAATACAGAGCCTGGGATCTGTACCCACCCCACACAGGATACCCACGGGAAGCAGGGGCCTTGCTCATGCAGCCTCCCAAGGGTCCAGGGCCCTTCCTCATCCCAGCACAGATCCCTTCCAGGCCCCGCATACGGCTACTGTCTGTCATCCCTCCCAAAGTGTGTAGGCGTTTGTGCATGTGCACGCAAGCCTGAAGGCACGGTGGGAAGGGCTTGTATATGGTCAGTAGGGACGAAGGGTAGAGCTGAAGGTGTTGAAGCCGCAGGCTTTGGCTCTGGGTGCTACTTGGTGCCTTGGGGGCCACGGCCTGCTGCCCGAGAGGCAGTTTGCACCACACCCTGTACCGGCTCCCTGTCGCCGCCCCCGCACGCCCTTGGACTTTTCCGGTTCCGGGCTTTGTGGGCCTGGCGGTCCAGCGGTGGCTCGGTCGAGACTACTCTTCCCAGGAGGCCGCGCGCGCCGGGGGGGGGCGTCTGGGAA